TGGAAGCCATGCTGGAGCGGCCAGAGATGGGAGAGAACGGCTTCAGAGAGGAGTCTGTGCTGTTTGGAGTCAGTCAGGTTGATACTCCTCTGCTTAATGGGTTCCCAACTCAGAGGAGCACGAGGATGATTTCCATACCACAGCCCATCTGAGGGGTCACTAAATTCACAGCGCTCACTCGCCGTGTTGTTAGAAAAGAACAATCACGCACAAATGTAAAGACGGATGTTATGTACTGACTAATCTCTACCAATTGACAGTGAACTAGCCTAAGGACTCGTGTGGGCTAAAGAGCTGGATTCATCATAGAGAAGCAGGTGTGTAGCCCAAAGGACCTGCTGTTGTACCCTAAGGTTTGGTGGCCTGGGCCACAATACACACAAAGCGTACTGAGCTGTGACCGGCAAGGCAGCGGCAGTCAGATAAGCCCCACTTTGAGTGTGTCTTTGTGTATAATCTGTCAGATTGACTTAATTATCATCAGCATTGACTTAATTATCAGAGCTTTAAAATGAATGATGTACAATATGTATAAAGGTGAATATACTATATATGTAGAGTCATATTTATCTGGTATTACTGTATATTCTGTATATAAGAATGAAATAACTACTTCTGAGTGACCATAACTTGTATGAATGTATATCCTGTATATATAACAAATAAATATGACATTTTCGGACAGTTTCTTCAGACTGATCTGGATTTCAGTAGCTTGTACTGTATATCCTGCACGGGGTTAAAATGCACACACTCTTCCTGCCCCCAGGCCAGGGGTGGCTTCCCACATCCACAGGTCTCCCCGGTTATGAGACGCGGGTCAGTCTGGAGCAGGCAGCCCAGCTTGCATAATTATAAACACAAATATAAAAAAAAAAAACTTCAGGTGGTACAGTCATTAAACATGGATCCTTCAGGGATGCAGGTCGCCGTAAAGTGTGATCCAGCTCTGAGGGGACAGTGGGAGGGACAAACGTGCGGAGAGGAGACCAGTTCGCACCCTCCAGAGCTTTAATCGCCGCTTAAACAGCATGTTCTGGGAACACGGGGGGGGGGGGGGGGGTGTTCATCGCTGAGCACCAGATATGCATGTCTAATGTGGCAGGCTTTCACAGGAAGTTCGACATGCTTAGCCCTTCGTATGTTGCCTTTCATATGTTCTGCCGTGTAACACTGCACTGCACTGCACTGCACTGCACTGCACATGCCATCATGATATTAATGAGGACGGCTTCTGGCAGAGATCTGTTCACTCGTCACACCGACTTTAACAAAGCCTATAGACATAAAAGCTGATTTTCAGTTCCGTAACTGCACCTACTGTTCAGGATTTCTCATCCCTGTGGGGGGGAGGGGGTTATGTTCCCCCCTCTCTCACACACTGGTTTTCTCCAAACGTCCCAGGAGAACTCACAGCTGGTCTCACCACACTGGGCAAGAAGGGACATAGAAGAGGTGGAGACAACCGGATAAAGGTCACCGGAGAGGGGGAGTGTCAATTTCAGAGACATACCTCAGCGTGAACACTTCTCCACATGCGTGTCAAAGACGGCTGTGTTTCATGTCATGCTGGACTGCCACAAAGAAAGCCGTTTGTTCTAGGAGTTTATCTCCAGGACCCATGACGCAGCACATGGCATATGTTAATGGCGTGACCCATCAAGGGTCATCTCTGTGGGGCCAACACCAGTCAAAGGTCAGGGCTCGGCACACTTCAGGAGAACTTTCCAGAAGCACTTCATTGTTTCCATGTTCCTGTGTCTGTCAGCAGCATTTCTGAAGAATTACTCCAAACACTGACCACAATGACGCTTCTCAAATGGATCTGTAATCTTGATTATGCCCCTTCTGGAGTGTGATTGGTTTGTGGAATTATCTGAGGAAATAGTCAGTCTTTGGAGGCGCTTAAGTTTTACTAGTTTACTCTGTCTGTCATACTTATTGCTCTCCTTGTGTTGCGGATGCTGTTCCCACGGCAACATGGCCACCAACTACCATGTCTGCTGGCCCGGCCCCTGCTCTCATCCATCCCGAAAAATGTGGCATATTTATGGCACCTGTTACATTTCCCCTTGCTATGTTTTTACTACAATTTTTATCTATATGTGTTTGGAATTAAGTGACCTGCATCAGAATACCGAAGCTTCCTTAATGAATGAGTCCACTCATCACATTTATACTTGGGAGAGGCTAGATATCTCCGAGAGCAGCCGCTGTGGGGTCTGACTGGGGTGGGAGACCCTGCTCCTGATTGGCCCCCCACAAACTGCCAGGAAGTGGAGCTGTGGCTGAACGAGATAGATATGTAAGGGAGCCAATCAAAGGCAGGCACTAACACAAATGTGTGATGCGTTGGGAGTTTGGCAGGAAGCCAGGAGGTGGGCCTGTTTATGTCCACCACAAGGTCTCTAGGGCCTTTTGTGTTTGCTGGCGACTGCTGAGATATACGAAGAACAAAAACATCCGCAGGGAGGTTGAGACGTTCCAAACAGCACCGAGACCAGCAGAGCGAACCCCATCCCATTGGCGAACGCTACATGCATTTCCAAATCCGTCCAATGGGGGCAGTGTTTTAAAAAAAAAAATTCCCCCAAAAAACGAAATTCACCGCAGTACTTCATCAGACAAATGAAAGCAGTAGACCAACGCAAAGACAAAGGCAGCTGTCAAATTCAAAACAAATGTGTAGTTACAGCAAGCTTAATGGAACCTTATGTTGCAGTGCTGTGGGGAAGGAATTCAACAGACACACTTCCACAGACCACCTTAAAAGAACCAATTAGAATGAGCCTCCTTAAAAACACGACGGGTGCAGTGACACAACAATACAACAAGCCAAGAACCAATCAGAATTATTAATAGGGATGTAAGAGGGAAAGAATCTGATTGGCTCATAACTCATGGAATTCATGGAATGAGGCGAAAATATGAGAGGGGAGAGAGCGCGCCTCTAAACATGGCAGCAGCCCAAGGTACAGCAGGTGACCCCAGGGGGCTTTTTAAAGGAGCTGGGCCACGATGTTTCTGCACTGCCAATCAGCTTCTGTTTCAGCCATGGGGGGGACGTGGGGAGGCATGACTGAAAGATAGGCAAGCGTCTCAGTGCACTGCACACCTTTGTGCTGCAGCACGGCCTCACTCTGACGCACTGCTCATCTGGCCCATGGCACACAGGAGTGAGATGGGCAGCAACCCCCCCCCACTGTCTCACTGCGTTCGCGACACACCACCAGTCCCAGTTGAGTAATCGAGACAGGCACCACCGGGCCAAAGAGACAGAACCTCGGGCCTGCGGCGCAAGCGGGCGTCTCCAACACGCCCCGCGGTGCCTTGTCCCGTCTGACCCCAGGCTGCACGGTGGGGGCGGCTGGGGGGGTCACAGAGGTGCCTCCGGGACCGAGGTGGGGGGTGTCGTAAGTATGGCCTCTGCTCCGAAGACCCTGGATTTCTAAAGATGCTTCCCAGGTTCCAGTTCCTCCATGTTGGGGACAAAGTTTACCCATGATGCAAGAGGGGACAGCTTGGGCAGACAGTGCAGGGCTACAGCAGATGACTCAAACGCTAACCAGCAGTATCACCAATACTACTGCAGTAACCGGCAGTGCCACTAATACTACTGCAGTAACCGGCAGTGCCACTAATACTACTGCAGTAACCTGCAGTGCCACTAATACTACTGCAGTAACCAGCAGTGCCACTAATACTACTGCAGTAACCGGCAGTGCCACTAATACTACTGCAGTAACCTGCAGTATCAGTAATACAACTGCAGTCACCAGCAGTATTACTAATACCACTGCAATGACTGGCAGTATTACTGATATCATTGCAGTAACTGACAGAATTACAATACTACTGCAGAAGCTATCAGTATAACTAACAGTATTGCAGTATTTTCTGGTATTAATATTGAAAATCAGTCTACAAGTCTGTGGTCTAGAATCAGGACTGGGCCAATCAGAATAGGCCAGGAGAATCAAACCAGAACAGTTTAATGGGATCCAGAGGGGCCAGTCCAGGTTACCACCAGAGAGCTGCAGATCCATAGCAGGTTTGCAGCGAGGATCAGCATGACTGATGTCTTCCCCCTGTTTTCACCCATGAGCACCCCTAGTTATCTAGCTGTGTCTGCTTGGCAGGCCATGTCAAGTGGTCATGGAAAATAGACAGGTGCATATTTAACATGCTATGCTGCTGTAGATAATCTATTTTAATCAGGCAAAGGCATGTGGGGCACATGATCACAAATGGAACAGCTACAATGGTAACAAAGGTCATGTGACTTAAGAAGTCATGTGACTGCCTTCAATCTCACTCGCTGGAGTCATATTTGACAAAATAATCAATACAGGTGAAAACACAATGTTTCAATTTTTCTAAAGAAAGCATTGTTTTTTTTTTTTTACATTTCACACCAAACATCCGCATCTGATGTCCTTAAATGCAGTAAATATTATGGGATGCCAAGTGACAAGAACAAAAACACTCACTTTCCATGGCAACATCTCCTATCTGCTTGCTGACAGAATCACACTGGTTTTGTCTGTGGCTCCAGGTTGCCCAGTGACCTTGGCTTGGGGGAGGGGGGCAGCACCAGAACAAGGTCACATGCTGGGCAAAATCCTCCAGTAAAACTTACGTTTTGTTTCATAACGCATAGATGCGTTTTGGGGAACTCGCTGGGACTGATGTGTTGGAGATCTCTCAGCTGAGTTATGCGTGATTTTCTCGATCCTCCGTGTGCGGTTTGGACACACAAGCGGCACCCTTAGAGCACCCTGGAGTGTGTGGGCTGGCACACTGCGGGTCTTTCCGGAAGCGTGCACTCTGACGCCATCCTGTGTCAGCTCTGAGAAAAAACGGGGATCAGGCACACAAACCCACGTTTCGTCACTCATGGCTCGTGATCCCAGTGACATTCAGCTGGTTTTATTACTGGTACCCATGTAAACACAAAGACTGGGCAGCCTGAGACAGTGAGGCCATAAACACCAGCATTATGGAATGGAATGGAATGTAAATTTTATTTCTGAAGCAACAGAAGTATTCCAAAGTGCTGTACAAAATTAGCATGACCAAAACAAAAATAAAACAACCCCATAATCACAATATAATACAACCAACAAGGACTAAAATAGTAAAATAACTGCCAATAGTCAGAGCTAAAAGCCAATCTATAGAAATATGTTTTTAATCACGATTTAAAAAGAGAGACTGAAGGGGAGAACCTAATCTCCAATGGAAGAGTGTTCCAGAGGTTAGGTGTGTACACAGAAACAGCACAGTCATCTTTTGACTTTCTTTCTCGAGATCAGGAGGTGATAAAAATGATTTAACTTTCGAGATTTTTCTAAGATGATAAAAAGCAGATCTAACTACAGAATTAATTAGCTGGTCAAATTTAAAATCACAGTCAAAGATTACACCCAAGTTTAGTGCGCGATCTTTCAAAAAAGAAAAAAGTTGATCCAGATACTCAAAGACAGGGATAGTGCAATTTGATAATCTGAAGAGGGTAATTTTGGTCATTTAATTACGTTAAAAACGTTATGAGACATTCAATCCTTAATGTTTGTCAGTAAAGAAAGTAAGTTCATCACTGTGGGTCACAGGGTTTCGGTGGAAGGTAAATCTGGGTGTCAGCACAGCAGTTAAATGACATATTGTGCTTATGAAATACAGCATATAAATAGAAAACAGAATAGGACCTAAAATGGATCCTTGGGGAATTCCGCATGTATGGAAAAATGGAAATTTCCGGTTTGTACTGAAAAGGTATGCTGGCTAAGGTACAAAATAAACCAGTCACAGACTGTGCCCTGAAGGCCAGTGCTCCCAGTGCAATGAGGTGACCATTAACGGCTTCACATGTGCCTTGGTGCGTGTCTGTGTTCACAGACGTCCCCAAATAGGTGCGACCCTCTAGGGCAGAGTTTCTGAACCCGGTCCTCAGGGATCCCCGGATGGTCCACGTTTTTGCTACCGGGAGCTGGGAGGGAGCAAAAACGTGGACTTTTTTGGGGGTTCCAGAGGACCGAATCGGGAATCACTGCCCTAGAGAACATTCAGCTGAGACACGAGACCCAAAAATCTGCTTACAAAATGACAGCCCCCCCCCCCCCTTCCCAAGTATTTGCTTTGCGTCAAAGACTCAAAGACCAGAAGACACAGAACGAAAGGGTTTTAAGGGCCAGAAAGCAGAACAGGCAGAAGAGCGTAAAACGCAGCCGGGGACATGCTCCTCTTTAGGGGGTCATTGAAAACCCAACATGGGCAGATATTAGCGAAAAGCGAATGGGGGGGGGGGGGGGGGGATTACGGTGTGGCGATGTCTGCCAAAACACGAGCGTGCGATTGGGTTACAGCTGGGAGTGCGAGTGAGGGCGAGGCCACTGCGGCGGAGCGTTCCGTAAATCACACTAGGAGGCGCCGGTTCACTCCTTCTATCGCTTCTTACACAATAACTCCAGGCAACCCAGTGACCCCTCCCTCCCCACCCCTCACGCCAGCCCAGAATGGCCTCCCTGACGGCTCCATCGCTGGTCAGAGGGTTACACAGCCCGATGGAGATGGGCAGCGTTCGCTAAGACCTCCAAACCCAAGCAGAGAGATCCGTACCCCTCAGCGGACAATCAGCATCTGCCCTTTTAGGCAGGTCCACACCAGAGCGAGTAAAGCATCAATAAATGTTACAGAAATGCCCATAAAAGGTGTTACATTATAAAAACCACAACGTTTCCAGCAAAAATTGCAAATTACATAAAATGCTTCGGCTGCACACAGTGGCGCCCTGTGGTAGAACTGAGGTACTGCATGTGATTTTAGTCACTTGTGGTGAGGCTTCTCAAAAGTTGCCAAATGTCTTCACTGTCAAATACACATTTTAACTCTTAAAAAAACTTTCCTTGAAAAGGTTAAAAACGAAAAAAAAAAACATGAAAAACAGCCAGTGTGTTTTTGAAAGCCTTGAAGTCTATGGGCCTTGTTAACCAAACAATCCAGTGAACAACAGCTCACCGATTGGTTAGATAACAACGGACACATTATTGGCCCTCTTGTCTTTTCACAGAACATGTGTAAAAGATCTCTGAGGTAAACTGCTGTTAATACAATAGTAATAAAAATAAGCGAAATGTGTGTCTGCAGTTGTTAGTGGCCCTTGTGAGAAAAGCTACTACATGACACACATCCCTAGAAGGAGAAGTTCTGCTTGCTTCGGAAGTGCAAGGAGAGTCTCTCCATATTATCAAGTGGCAGGCTCCTGATGTCTGCAGAGAGAGGCCTGGGCAAGTCTGGATCCAGGAACTCGGGGCTCACCGTCTCCTCAGGCAGGTTCACCTTTGCAGGTAAAGGGCTATCAGGAAACTCCCCAGGCTGGTAGAAGGACCAGCACGTGGAGGCCGACCCGATGGAAGAGGTTTCCGAGGCGGGGAGGTGGCCATCCAGGCCATCAGGGAAGGAGGAGGACTCCGGGAGACTGAAGCAGTGGAGGTCGCAGGAGGAGGAGGCAGAAAAGGAACGGGGGAGGCGTGGCTGATGCAGATTCAGCTTGGACACCAGTGGCTTACCCACAGAGACCAACCTGGTCTCCTGTATCTCGTCGTCCATGCTGGCGTACTGGTAATGAAGGCACACCGAGAATGACAGCTCATACTGTGTGAGAGAGAGAGAGAGAGAGAGAGAGAGAGAGAGCGTCACACAAGCGAGGACAGAGGCAAGGGGCCGCAGCCACGCGTGAGACGCTATGCGGGAACAAGGCGAGCACCTTCAACCTCTGCAGGGCGCTGAGGCGCGTGTAGAGGCTCGGGAAGCCGGGCTGGGCCAGGGTCTCTGCCGTGAACAGCAGACTCCCAGCATCCATTGGGCTCTCCTGATTGGTCAGCTTCAGCTCCACACCCACATCCTAGCGCACAGGAAAGGACAGCGTCACCAGCAGCATGGGGACGAACTGGGCCGCGAACGTATCACAGTGGTCACGCCCACTGGTTTGGGACCAGCGTCATAATACTCTCAGTTTTAAAATTTAGCTTCTATTTTTATATTTTTGCATCTTTTCTTTGAAATCCAGTTTAGTTTTAGTTAGTTTTCAGTGAGATTTATGCACTAATGTATCCAGCTATTACTACCAGTCATTATGGATAAACAAATCATTTCTTAAATAATAAAAATGTTTAAAAAACTATACAAAAATAAAGGGGGTTACAAAGTATTTGGTATTTTTTTTATTTCAGCTACTTTCAATAGTTTATTTTTTTTGTTTAGTTGTAGTTTTGTTCAGTTGACTATTCCTTATAGTGGCTTATGGTCTGTGTCATAATAACCCTGGTGGGGAGTCACCTCAGAGAAGTCAGTGAGCTGCGCGGTGCATGTCACCACGGCGTCCGGCTTCTCCAGCACGCTGGCATAGATGATCATGATGTTGGAGAACTCGGCTGCAAAACCCAGCTGCACCGTGACGCCGCACTCGAACCTCAAGTACAGGCTGTCCGGGAGCACTAGGGGGCGCCATGGGGTCAAGGGTCAGTCCACTCGCCACATCCAGCAGCTCCTTAAGCCCGGGCCCTAGCCCCATAGGCTCACCATTAGCGACGGCCCACTGCAGATTCCGCACGGACGCGATTTCAGGGCAGTCGCCGCTCTGCACGCGGTCCGTCAGGGCTCGGCGCTCCGACAGGTTACTGCGCAACTCCAATGCCTGTCTGCCCCGCGTAATGTCACACTGGCCCATGTCTGCAGGGACACTAACGACCAGTCACATCGTACATCACGGGACAATGACCAATCACATCACACAATGCAGAGGAGATGACCAATCACATGTCATATACCGAGGAACACATCCAGTTACATCACACAGTGCACGGAAGATGCCCAATCACATTTCACAATCCAGAGCATATGACCCATTATGTCAAACAACTGTTTCTTTTATATAAATTATAACTTGCATTATCTTGTTCCAATAGAATAAAAGACAGCAAGAAAAAAAAACACCGACCTTCAGCGACCTTGTCCAGCATGACGGTGACCTTCTCGTCCTCCAGGAGGCGCCGTGTGAGGAAGCTCATGAAGATGCCGTTGGAGAGGCCGTCCTTGTTCACCTCGTATGCCTCAGCGTCTACACATCTGTGGGGCGAGGGGAACTTAAACTCAGATGCACTCCTGGCACACAGGGAGAGAGGAGGCTGCAGTGGGGGGGTGGAGGACTCACGTGGCGTATCCAAACACGATGTTGGCGGTCACCTTCAAGGGGCCCGGCTGGGGAATGACATCATCATTCAGGTTCCTGGAACAACACGACCTCATCAGATCCGAGGCTGTGGTGCGCGGCGGCCCAGAACGCCAGCCACATAACTGTGCTTTCTGTGCTCTTTCTGTCCCTAAACCACCTCCTCTGTCCCTACACCTCTGATGTCTTCCTCAAGCAGGAAAAAGTGAACAGGGAAGATGGTCGCCTGACTAGCATTATCAGGAGTAAGGTGGGGTACCGCTTGCGACACATGTCCAACAGGAAGACGTTGAGGCCGGTCTGGCGCCCCTGCATCCGTCGCAGCACGTCCTGCACCCATAGGCAATGCTCAGACGTGTAGGAGGAAGGCGCGTCTATTGGCACCATGAAGCTGTTCCCGTAGTTTTCATACCCGTGGCCGGCAAAGTACAGCAGTCCTTGGGGAGAAACAGGAAACATGCATTCAGAGAGCCGGCCGCTGACCTGACCAAGCAGCCATTTACAGAGCCAGTCATGGAGGTGGTCAACCAGCCAATCATGGAGCAACTCTCAAAGGTAGCCAACCAGCCAATCATGAAGCAACTCTCAAAGGTAGCCAACCAGCCAATCATGAAGCAACTCTCAAANGTAGCCAACCAGCCAATCATGAAGCAACTCTCAAAGGTAGCCAACCAGCCAATCATGAAGCAACTCTAAAAGGTAGCCAACCAGCTAATAACAGAGGCAGTCACCGAGGTAATCAACAAATCAGTTACATAGCCAGTCATAAGGTGATCAACCAACTAATCACAGAACAGTCATGGTGTTAAACTGTTGCGGAAGTCTAGTCCTTACTTGTTGCAACCACATTCTGACGGCATACTGACCGTAGACGCCACGATCCAGAAGCAGCAGGAACTCTGTAACAGCGCTGTGCATCTCCTGCAGAGTCAGGTCCAGCAGAGAGACTACCTTGAAATCCAGCTGCCGCAGCAGGTTGCAGAGCTGGTGGACGTCAGCCATGGGGGCACGCAGCTGCCGGTGGTGCTGGTAGTTCATGTTGCCCATGAGGAGGGCCACCTTGTCAGTGGCTATAGGGCAGGGGGGGTGCATGACATTCACAAGTCAGAAGGTGTGGCCAGTAAGCACATGACCCAAGAGCCCAGCCTGTACTGTAGATAAAGGCAGAGGGGGCGTGGTCAGTGACCTGTGGGTGTGGCCAACCAGACAGGAGGTGTGGTTACTGAGGTAGAATTGTCACAGTATTTTTAGGGCCAGTCCGCACCAATATGTTTTCGTTTAGTAACACAAAAATTTTCTTCCGATCTTTTCTTCCATTCACATCACCATGGACCTTTTTACCCAGAAGCAGAGAAAAATTTCACCACTATCCGACAAATAATCTCTCTGTAAACGATCAGTGGCGGCTTCTATAAGACTACAGGTGATGTTTCACCAAAAAAAATTATAATCTTCATGACAATCACTTTTTATTGGTGTGAAACCACAAAATGCTCATAGAAATAAGGTGCATCTCCTAATTTCAGCTCCTCAACGGTATACAGCTCTGGTCAAAAACGTGAATCGATATTTTCCCCCATCTCAGACCCCGGCGGCTGGTGGATTTTCCAAGTTCAATGGAGTCTCATGGCAAATAAGTCCCACCCGTGACACAAGTGACTGCCTACTGTGATATATCACGTGTATGTTATATAAAAGCTGAACTTCATTACTAATCAAAGTCAAAATAAATTATTCAAAATATATACTTCGTCAATTCTAGAATTATAGAAAATTTTGGTTGACAAAAAACATGCAAATGACATGCTGTGCTCGAGCTACAATAAACAAATAATATATAAAGTTCCCCACTTCTAAAAAATATATTACAAAAAGCTTTGGTTAAATGTGCAAAAGAAAAATGTCAGAAATATATACATTAAGAACCAGTCTTACAACTGTCATTTGCCTTTTACACGGAGCAGTGTGAACGCAGAAATTTTTTCCAACACTAGTGATAAAGGTAGTGTGGACGCAGATCTTTTCTTTTGGAAACTCCCATAAAAAAATTATGTATTAGTGCAGACGTAGCCTTAGTGAGAAAGGGGAGAGTGACTTGAACCTTTACACATTCAACAATGTGTATGATGTGATATCTGCTTTTCCGACATATTAAGCAAACTTACCATAGAATCTGCTGTGCTGTCGAGCCGGGGGAGGGTTATACCCTGTAAAAGTAGCCGGGGGGGTTAACTACCTAAAGTAAGCAACGGGACATCCTGGATTTTAAAACAGCTTCCAACGTACCGCCATCATTTTCATCAAACGACGAGCAAAGGAATGATCCGGGACCTACGGATAGCCCAGAGGGACGAAGATGAGGGTGAGAAGACAGTTTGAGGGACAGCAGTGCATTGTGGGCCTCTGTGACAGCCCCTCACCAATCTCCACGTGGATCTCCTCACTCCGTATGTCGTGGTACAGGTTGAACACCTTACAACTATACTGCCCCCTGCTGGAAGTGGTGGCGCAGGAAATCTGAAACGCAAATCCACATGAGAATGGGTGTATTAAAAAAGCAGCTTAAATCCTAGGCTCTACTTATAATGCTCACAGAGAGTCTTGGAACGCTTGCGTAATTCTGTACAAATGTTGCAATTTATTGGTTATATACCAAAAATCCATTGACAAGCAATGATTAACATATCTGCACATATATACTACACAGACATTCTTTTTATTAAGTGTAATATTTTTTTTAATAGACTCAGAACTTTGATTGACTCAGTAGAGAACTTGATTCAGTTCTGTTCTTGCCATTTCGCTAGTTATGGCAGTTGTAGCCACTGGCTACCAAAGAGATACTAAAAACAAATGTCTGGTGTTTCATGTTATTGCAGAGATGCTACTAATTAAAAGGGCCCAGTGAAGCTGCTGGCCAATGAACTTTTTAACTCAGAACAGCTCTTTTAGAACGATAATTTGGGTTTCGATTTATTATTTGAAATGAATGCTTTACTTAAAACTATTAATATTTTTAGAAACAAACAAAGTAATGATTTTATTATGAAACCAAGAAGTCTGGAATATTTTTTTACTGAATCAAGCAAACATTTCTTCGAGCAATGTACTTGCAATAAAACTGAGTTGGGGGGGGGGGGTTGTGATATGTCATTTTGCAGAGAAAGAGCAACTTCAGGTGGATAACACAGCACTAACCTCGAGACTGGGCCGGGTTGCCTGTGCTACTGGTTCGTTGTTATGGTACCACTGGTACTGAGGTGGGGGGTTGCCCTCAGCGGCACATTCCAGGCGAAGGGGGGTTCCCTCGCAGACGGACAGGGGCTGGGGCTGCTGGGTAATTCGCAGGCTGCTCGTTGAGGAGGGGAGGAAGCCATCCCGAGCATCTGAGCAAAGGACAGCGTGAGACGCGTAAGAGGAGCCGTCAGCAGGGGGCATCGGTCGCCGTCACACGGTTCGGTACCTGAGCTGGGACAGTCCCCACTGGCAAGCTGCACCTTCGCCCACTGGGAGTAGACAAAGTTCTCCCCGTGGCTGACGCGACAGATATAGTGACCTTGCTGACTCGCTACGAAAGGGCACAAGACCAGGTCAGGGTTCTGACCGTTGGGCACCTAGAAGCAGAAGAAGGCACAGCGACTCATGGTGAAGCTGCACAGGCCATTCACAGTCCGGCAGTATTAACACGGTCATTAATGGTCATGCCATACTAAAACGGTCAAGGTCAGCCAAGATTAATATTAGTCATTCATGGACAACATAGAACTAAAATGGTCAGTTACGGTCATGTTGTATTAACACTGTCACTTGTAGTTCAGTCTAGGTGGGACTCCAGTCGAATATGACACACGTAAGCAACCATGTGAGGTTTAGTATCCGGTTCTGACCCAACCTCCTCTTTCCCTTTAAACCACTGGTACGCCATCCCTTTGGGACCCTCTGCCTGGCAGGTGAGGACCAGCCGGCACCCATCCGGTTCACACTGGGACTGCGGCTGTATGATGATCCGGATCACTGACCGAAACACACACACACACACAGACAGTCGGCTTTAACATGTGTTGCACATGTGAGATGACACAGGAAGATACATCGACCTCACAAGTTAACCGGTGTTTACGTGGCTGACAGCAGCAACCAAAAGGCACAGTGGTATTTATGGGGGAAACGGAAGCTTTGGGCCCTGTTAAGTGGCAGTCTACGTCATTACTTCCTGTGACTGAGAAAGTAGAGTAGCATGGGAAGCCAGCCTGACCACTTGTGCTGTAATCTGCACCGTATGCCAATGAGGGTCAACTCTGGACCAATGACACGAGGTGGGCGGAGACCTGTGGCAATGAGGTACTGCACAGCGGAACGGTGATCGATTTTCCGAAGGCAGTGCAGCAGAAAGCCCAGGGGACAGGAGCGATCAGCCAGCATGGAAAGCAGCAGGCGGCTTGGGCTGCCAGTGGCACTGAGCACCTGCAGGGAGCAGTTCAGTAGCTCCTTCTCACTGGAACAGAGAGACCACACTGTCACCTCCTCCTCAGAGCTCAAAGAGACCACATGTTGGGATGTAAAGCCAATATTTGGAAAACAAATTCCTATTCGATTGCCGTATATTTCACTAATTTTTCATGATCCTACATTCAATAAAGATGAACGTTTTCTGATTAATCTCTTGATAATATTAAGTAAATTTTATATTTAGAAATAAATAAGAAAATAAATAAAAGAAAAAATAAGAAAATACTCTAGAAAGATGCCCTCATTTATATATTTTATACATTCTGGTTTTTGCTCTTACTCTTCTATGTTGACAAATATAAAGCTTCAGCAAAAACAAAAAAATGTAGGAAAACTTTTGTTATGATTTTAATGTTTAAATTGTTTACCCTTTTTTCGATTTTTTGTCAGTTTTGTTTATAGTACTTCACTGAACGCTCATGCTACGTTTCTGTAGGCAGTTATATGACTGTGATGTCACACATGTATGTGAAGTTACATGAATGAATAAAAAACCACAAAGAGACCACATGGTCAGCTTCTCCTCGCTGGAGCACAGAGAGCCCGGCTGTCCTCTTACCTGCAGCGGAACTTGGGCTGTTCGGTGACGGCGGCTGCCAGCTGTCTCCAGCCGCACTTTGGGTTGTCCAGTATTTCCGCCAGGCGGTTCAGGACTCCATCTCCCAGGGTCCCCAGCTCCTGGGTCCAGTCCCCCATTTCCGCTGTCACCCCTGCCAGGTTACACTTCACTCTGCCAAAAGGACTGGGATTTACAAGGGCTAACTCGCAGACACTAAAAATGACAGAAGGGACACACACAACTGATGCTTCCACACACAGCTGCAGTGTCCAGTTCTCCTGAGGTGGAGGCTTGGGGCACTGAGGGGCACATTGTGGCTGAGGCTGGCCGTAACTGGTACCCCGGCTCATTAGGTCAGTGAGAGCAGCGCTGATCTCACCACAGTGGCGTAACACAAGGGGCAAAGTGACGAGGAGACGAGCAGAACCAGGCAAACCAGGGACAACGCACGAGCTCACCCTTACGGCGAACAGTATTAATACTAAGGGCAGTATTTACGTATCACTAAACACGAGGGGAGATCTACTGTGTAAGAGCTCCGTAATAAGCACTAAAATCAGAAACTTGCCCACTTTGTATAAGTGAAAGCGACACGTGATCAATGAAAATGTCGCTTAAAGTTTAAAATATACTGTAAACACGTACGGGCATCTAACGTAGTCGTGGTTAAGTCACATCTAAAATAATTTTCTGTGTGATATATCAGGTACGGAGACCACAATAATTTCATTACTGGTAACGACGCTCCGTTAATATCTGTATAAGACAATAAACTTGAAACTATACCGCACATCTGAAGGGGCTGCGACAGGCAGACAGAGATGCAAAAACAGGAAGAGGAATGCAAGCGAAACAAAGTCAAATACAGGGCGACTTGTACAAAATACTTAACAATTAACAGCAAATGCAAGAACAGGATCCTGTCGACTGCTGTTTAATATTTAAACGACCGCAATTCAGAAAGACTGAAGTTATACGGTGATTGAACAAAAAAGGAGACAACAAGCATCGGAAGGTATTTAAGGAAACTGGAACCCTCCCCTTCGTTTGTGGGCATCTTGTTTATACCGATGCCGGCGCCATGTGCGCAGGTGAAGGGGGCGAAACCGCGTGTCCGTGCGCTCCGGTCCGTGCGATGCCGTCTTACCTGGGGGGGCCGAGAACGGAATCTCTGCGGCTCCGAACCGCAAACTTGAAGTCGGGTCGTCAGACCCCCGATATCAACCCGATAAGAGAGCTAAAGCGAAACTGGGCGTGACGAAGCCTGAGTGATGCGGCGCAAAAGAAAGATCGTCCCCTTCTATTTTATTAATAAAATACGGCGATGGGAGAAGTGTAAAAACAAAGAAAGGCTATCCCTGCGCCATTTCCCGCTGTGAAAAAAAGTAGAAAAAAGATACTTCTTCTTTCTTGGTTTCCGTTCCTCTTTTTTTCATTTCAGTTTTGCATACAGTTTTTGAGTTATTCTCACAGGTGCCCCGGCAGTCTGTAAATCCCGCACGCACAGGGATACTTATTTAATCCTCTTTCTTTCGGGGCTCAATGTATTACCTCAGTAGCCTATACGTTGATGGTGATGTATAAATTTACCATTAATGTATATCTTTAGACTTAATGATTATATGAGACTTGCTTAAATGATCCAGAATAAAAATGCACTAAAATCGTTGTTGCAGTTTTATATAATCCATTTCCCGAGCGTTTATCCTAGTCAGGATTACGGGAGCCTGGTCTTTCCATGTTAAATGTTTCATTACCAGACTCGATTCCAATGTTGAAATATAGATTTGGTCATTTAATTTAGATTTTGTTTTTTTACATTTTATGTCACAGTGAGCAGAACATGAAACACCACCATGCAGGCAGGGGAAGACTGTCAGAGACCCCCATCCTAGTTACTAAGCAAATGATCCCCACAAATTTCATTGCCAGCTTATTTGATATTTTACTATGTCACTCAATGCTTCCTTTCTACAATGCATTTATACTGACACAGCGCCCCCATGAGCAGCCAGTCGACACTGAGGTAAACAGATTACAGATATTAAAGGTGTGATTTCAAAATACAACAGCCTCCCCGACTCCTGTTTAAACACACTGGCTCAGTGAGTTCATGACTTTGGCAGTATATAAGAAGAACAGTATACATACTTGTTGCTCGGTAACATGCACAGTGTGATAAATCGATTTTTTTTGTGTTTGCCCTTATGTAGCTCATTTGCTCATAAACCGTGAGGTGTCTGTGGTCAATACTATTCCTGTTCCTTACTTTCTAAGTGACTCTCCTTCCATGTCTGCAGTGTCCTGGTCCTGCACCTGAAGATGTTCAGATTCACCCCACAGTTTGAGAAGATGAACGTGCCGGACCAGCTTCTCCTCCGTCGGGAGATCGCCCTGCTCCCCCACTTTGGCCGACAGCGACACCACAGTGATCAGAGCCTGAGGAACCTCATCTGAAGGACACCCAAAGCACACAAGAGGCACATATGTACATTTCGACATAGAAATCTACAATAAATGCCAAAATAAGGGCAGGCATATAATCATACATATCCAGAATTCTTTAAAAACTGGAGAATTTCTGTAAATAAACAGACATATGGTATTTATAAACACATGTGCGTGTGTATGAACAGCAGTTTGATTGTATGGATCCCCTGCAGGTCAGCTGAAGACCCACCAGCGGATGCCCTAGGGATGATACCCACATAGCAGACAGGTCTGGCCCAGATCTGGCGTCAAGCCGGCATTGCTGGCTGAGTTCTGGCATGGCAAGTGGTATGTCAACCAGATATGGGCCAGGTCTGGCAATGATGGCACTGTTTACATTATGGCATGCCAGATGTGGCCCGATTGTGGTTTGGTCTATGTGGCCCAGGCACATAGAAGACAGGTCAGGCCCAGATCTGGCGTCAACCCGGCACTGCTGCCCAGTTAGCAAGCACATGTGGGCCGATTCTCGCTGAGTTGTGGCACATTCGGTTCACTGTCAGCAACGGTAAAAAATTGCGGGCCGATTGTGGGCCTAGCACGGCGACGATTCTGGCTGACTGTCGGCATTTTTAATCTGGGCCAGAACCATTCTGAGCACGGCGAGCGTTTCTGGCTGACTGTCGGCATTTTTAATCTGGGCCAGAACCATTCTGAGCACGGCGAACGATTCTGGCTGACAGTCGGCATTTTGCGTGTCGGACGACTTTGGCTGACAGTCATCCATTTCAGCATTGGTAACATAATTTGTGCCCTACCTAGCCCTCACCTGGCGTAAAATTCTGGCCTGATGTCAGATAAATATTCTCAAAAAAATTCGAACCAGAACTAGTCTTAACATGGAAGATCATTCTGACTACAGTCTATAGGAGGGGTCACCAACATGGTGCCCGTGGGCACCAGGGCGCCCCCAAGGACCACATGAGTTGCCCACGGTGACTGTTCTAAAAATAGCACAACTCACCATTGAGCATGGCGTCTAAAATTTAATTTTATCCTGTTGATATTCTTCTTTAATCACATTTGCATTTATATAGATTTGAAAATGGCAATATCTAAAAGAAAGCATTTAAAACGCGTTTATTATACATGATTTAAGAAAAATGTATCAAACTGGTAGCCCTTCGTAAGGCTCAGTACCCATGAAGTAGCTCCCAGTTTCAAAAAGGTGACCCCTGGTCTTAGTCTATAAGAACATAAGAAATTTACAAACGAGAGGAGGCCATTCGGCCCATCAAGCTCGTTTGGGGAGAACTTAACTAATAGCTCAGAGTTGTTAAAATCTTATCTAGCTCGGATTTAAAGGAACCCATGGTTTTAGCTTCCGTTACACTAGCAGGAAGAATATTCCATACTCTAACTACACGCTGTGTAAAGAAGGGCTTCCTCAAATTTGTTTTAACATGTTCTCCCGCTAATTTCCACTTATGGCCACGAGTTCTAATATTTAGACTAATACTGAAATAGTCATTTGGCTGAACAGCATCCAGACCCGTTAGAATCTTATAGACCTGAATCATATCCCCCCTTAGTCTCCTTTGCTCAAGGCTAAACAGATTCACTTCCGCTAACCTCTCCTCATAAGACATTCCTCTAAGACCAGGAATCATTCTCGTTGCACCTTTTCTAAGGCAATATATATGAGGTTCTCATTTCATTATGTTGTATATGTAAATCTGCAAGATGTCACCTGGGTCTGTTCGAGCATTGGTAATGCTTTGTCCCATACCTGACCCTCATCTGGCATAAAATTGTGGCTGAAGGCTCTGCTCTCTATTATATCATAACCACTGTCTGTTTGGGATAAAGCCTATACTAAAGATCATGAGAAACACAATAAAGGGCCAATGGCTGACATACAAAAAGACTCCAAGCACCAGCTGTTGACATAGTACAGTCCCACTGATATGATAATTTTTTTGTTTAACATTGGAAAACCATTAAAACTTATTGGATATTTTTTGTTAACTACGGTATATCGTCAATCATTATTTTTCATCTGACATGTTTACTTAAAAAAGGAAAAGTAAAAACAAATGAAAACATTAATTTATCTTCTCTAAAATCTTGTCTTTTAAAAATATAAACCCGTTTGGAATACAGCCCCCTGCTGGTACACTGCAAAATCCTGGGCTCAAACTCATTATGGGCTTCGGATTCTCATTATTATGGGCTGATGTGGCACAAGGCGGTATTGACAGAACAATCTGTACGCACTGGTGAACACCTTCACAGGAAAGTAAATAAGTGACTTAGGGCATATTTCCATTATACATTATTATAATACACTGTACAATACAGCAAACTATATAGTGGGATTTACAACAGTTGAAAGAATTTCAAAATGGTGAAACTATCTAACTCCTAATGGCACTGGGATGCTCCTGGACAGACCCCTGTCTCTTGGCTAAAGGCAGCTGCCACTGCATTCAGTTATTATGTTTAAACTGTTTGTTTCATCTATGACTCCAGTAGAAATGTCATCTCACCTCTTATTTCACTGTGTTTGGTTTCCCCTGTGATTCCTAAGTCAGGCAAAGAGCAGCAAACACCTGAACTGCTGAGGGTAGCAGTTAGAGGAAGACAAGTGAGTGAGAGGTACAAGAGAGAGTGGGATTACAATATTAATAACGTTTGGGAAGAAAACCAGGTCAGAGAAACTGGAGATAGAGAGTAGTGGTGAAGGTGTCTAAGAGCTGGAGAAAGTTCATGATGAGTTTTTCTCTTCAGAGAGAAACGGTGCTTTCTGAGATGCTGGAAGGACAGCCAGCCACCTCGGGTAGAGTGCCAGTACAAGATGTCATTCATGAGTACTATACTGTTACCTACTGCTCTTACTTTTTATATAGTCATTTATATAACAAAAAATCATGTTGGGAAAACGCTCAGACTAGAATCGCTGCTCACATGTAATTTTAGTAAAGATGCTAAATAGTCATGTGACCTAGAAGACATTTTGAAATATAATCGGCGGATGTCCTACCGGTCTTTCTTGTAGGTGATTATGTCAGCGATACCTTCAGTGACGAGGAGAAGGGCTGGCTGTCTGTCAGCGATGATGTAGTGCAGAGGTCAGAGGAGGAGCTGGAGATGAAGAAAAGACAGAATGTTAATGCTGTTCTACACCCAGTAGGTAAAAAAAGAAACACTGAATACACTCTGTTATATTACAGCCAGCAGGTAAATACAAACACGCTGGATAATGTCCCTCAAACAAAACACTCGGTTACACACCTTACAGCAATATGCCAAACCTACAGCAGCAGAGAACACAGTGTCTTGTAATTTATGCTACACTAATAAAAGGCAGCCGGCTGGACCACTTGATGCATTTGTAAGGTAACGTCGAAAGTGTGTTATTTTGTAGGAATCCTTCCAGAAAACCACTGGTGCCTCCAGACTGGGGACTGATACTTGAAAGGCAGGTTAATCTCTGTGTCTTCAGGTGTTCTCTGCTGAAAGAGGAAGGACGTGGTAACAGTCAGTGTCTAATTACAGGCACTGAAGGACACGGAGGGATATCACTGCTGACTGGGGACAATAGACTTCAGTAAAAGATACAAATAAAGGAACTGATAGGTAAATAAGGAAGTATGCGTGCTTAGTCAAATCAGGTCATCTTATTTATGTAACACTATTAAAAACAGCCAGTGGCTGATCAATAAAAACAATAAGCATAAAAAGCGAGGGGAAAAAAGTAAATTGCATAAAGCAAATAAAACAAAGTAAAATGTAAAATATAATAAAACAAACAGTACGCTTGCAAAGAATTGTAATAAAACACACAGAACATTTATCTAAAAAGCTTCAACAAATAAATGAGTTTTTAGCCTCGACTTAAAACATTCAGTGGTGGGGGCAGATTGGACATCTAGAGGGAGGTTGTTCCACAACTTGGGCCAGGCCACGGAGAAAGTGCAGTCGCCTTTCGCCCAGCACGTGCTATGCTTGCCCACCAAATTTAATAAACATAAGGATTCCCTGATTTATACAGATCACTAACCTTCGGGCATCACAGTACACATCTGATTAATGCTGTGTGCCATAGTACTGAAAAGTCTGTGTCTGGACAAATTTCTACGCTCATTTTCTCAAGCCAGGATTAAAGCATCAGACACATTTAACAAACATGGGGGCAAAGGGATCACTTTAAATTTGGGCTGATGAGAGACCAGTCCCAGAGTATCCAGGAACAACTGGATGCAACACTCAAAATTCTGAGATATTTAGTAAAATTCTGAACCATATTATACATTCAGCACAATTAAGTTAAAATTGAGTAAATGGTGGAGATTCGAGGCCAGATCCCAGAGGTGTGAGGCTACAGTGCAAACCACTGCACTACTGCACCATATTAAGGATATTTCACTGTACTGGGCAGTGCAGAGTGGATCTGAATGGAACATATATGCCATCAGTCCATTGCCTAGACCCCAGGGGCTTCTGGGAGATTTTACCTTCATTCCATGTTTCTGATGGAGTCCTCACTTCTGCACATGCTTTTGCACATACTAACCAAGTATTTTGCACATACTAACCAAGATGCTAAAAGAATAACAGAAGTATATCAGACACCTGAAAGGGTTAAAAATCACCAAAGGTGGATTTAAGGAAATTGATTTGCAAAATATCTCGGGGCTCATAACTAGACCTGACGCTAGGGTGCGTGACAGTGGGGTCATCATGTCCCGTCATGTGTTGGGTTGGGGGGTTATGTTTTCAATCAGGGTGAAGACAATGGTAAGTGTATTCCAGCAAGCAGCGCCACCATGTGGCCAGCCTGTTAGTATACTATAAGACTTATTTCGCATTTACCCATGAGGCTGACAGCCTCCTACGTGAGACCTGCAGAGCCTCAGATCATCCAGCAGGATTGTTTTGCGCAGGAATCTGTTCCTCTGGAGCACTGACACTAATGGTACACAAGGTGGTGCTGTTTGACCACCTCTCATCTCACCTTTAGACCTTTTCCTGACAATCTTTCAGGCTCTAATTGCTGTAATATACATACTAAATAAAAAGTAAACTGATGCTTTGTACATGAATAAGTGGCGCAAGACCAGATTTCAGAAGATGTTTTTGAGACAGCATGCAAGCTGGGGACCAGGCATCCCACACAGATGTGAGTCTTGGGAAGTTGCTAGGAATTTATTTTAAATGACCAAAATCACTTCTCCGCAAAGGAGGGAGACCCCAGTGTCACCCCCTTCCCACTACAATGTTCTCACCCACATGTGATATTCAGCCTCACCACTAGGGGGCAGCCACACAACATCAACACATCAACTGCTTTGTGTGCTAAAAAAAAATCTGGATTAAAACACAAAAATGATAAAGAAAGAATCAGAAATAAATGCACTAATTTAAAGCCCTAGAAAAGAAGAAGAGGAACAGGGCCAGAGAGACTGTAGATCAGAGACGCCCCCCACATGCTGGCTGAGACCACCACTTCCTTGGTGTTCCGTACCACCCCCCACCCCCCCCAGCCGCGATGCACCAGGGGGGCCATCCTTATTACAGGGTAGGACCCCCTCACGTGGGGACAACTACGCGACCGGCGGGCTGATTGCCCCTGGCTGTGAATCAAAGCATCTGCAGGAACGTATCATTACATCACCGAGGATGGGGTTAACCCCCACCCCCCAGGAGCACGTGTGTGACTGTTGGGGGGAAATTACTGTGCTTGTGGGATGGGGGGGTGGGGGTTATGAGATGGCAGGGAGACCACATCAGGGCAGAGTCAAACACCTAATTAAAATTACCTCTGATTAGCCCCCTCCCTGAATAGAATCTTTTTTCTACCCTTACAGCCATCTTGAAGGGGATCTCATGGCGCTGATGGCCCCCCCAGGGCCTCAGGGGTTCTTAAAGTACCGAGAAATCAGGCAGTACATAGACAACCCCCTTCTGAAACTCATTCATTCCCCTTCAACCCTAATACTGTTCTCAGTCAATACAAGCGCACTAAGCAACATTTGCATCAAAGGAAAGTTCACCGTGGAGAATGAGACACAGTGCCAGCACCCCCCCCGCCCCGGGCCACACGCACCCGCCCCTCAAAACATTGAGGCTTTTCCTAGAAGCACGTCTCCTGTTGCCAGGGAACAGACGCCTGAAGGATCTGACCGGGCGACCTGGTCCAGTCCATCGCCAAGGAGACGGCGAGAGCGGCGGCTCGATTTAGCACGGCAGGCCATATTTAGCAGTAGCGCAGCCTTTCTTACCGCCGCGGCACTTTAATCAGCGGTAGCGGCCGCCAGACGGAGACGCTCCGGGAGCAGCCCCACCCGCCCCTGGGGAGGCCAGAAATCCAGAGCGTCAGCACTTTCTGGCACTTTCTGTGGGGTGGCCAGGACCGTACGCCTGCTCCGTCACCGTCAGCGACGCCGGCCCAGCTCCCGAGCTACACGCATGTGGACGGCGGTGCACCCAGAGCTTACCGAGTTCACCCTCGCCTTCATCGTGGCTGACCTCTGACCCCTAACCTTTCTCTGACCACCTGGCTCCCAGAGACAACCAGCTGGACTTTGGCCAACATCAGCAATCGGAGAAAACCGACCTGGTGTGACATAGGGGTTGTGATTTTCAGCATAAATCAGGATAATTCTGGAACCTTCCACTACAGATCTCCCAGAATCCTCGGGGCAGGCTCAGTGTCCTGGTTTTGGCTGGGAACGGGGAACCCCCAGCATGCGGGTCACCATCACCCAGCGCGACAGGGACACACGGAGACGGCTGAGGTATGACTGGTTTGCCGTGAGCTGTAACGGAGCATGACAGGCATTGGGCCGGTTCCTGCGAAGGCTGCCCCAGCTGGATTTCTGGCGAGCAGCTGCAGGAAAGCTTCCGGCTAACTCAGGCGAGGTTGAGATCGGTGCCCGTGTTTGCAAGGTCGTGGGTTTAAGTCAAGTGGAGAGCAACATGGGATATATGAGAACTAGCCAGTTTCCACACAGGGTCGAATAAGGTACGTCTAATCTATTCTATCAGACCGGGGGTGGGGGGGTATGGTAGCTTAGTAACACTGTGGTCTCACCCCTCCAGTGCTGGGGGTTCAGATCACACCGCTGAGCTGTGCGTGTGTGGAGTTGGTAAGATCTCCCAGTGCTGTCTGGGTTTCCAATGCACACCAGTCTTTTGGGCTGACTGCCATTTCTAGAAACCCAGCTTGTACGGGCACCAGCGCCCCCTGCAGGCCCTGACCAGGAGAGGCAGCTGAAAGTCGGATAACTGGGGCTTCCAGGCCCAGAGGAGGCTCACGTGTCACACTAGCACATGGACCGCAGCGAGGCGTGACCTCAGCACACGTGTTGGCTGCACTGTCAGAGATCCAGAAACACACCTGTTTGCAGAGTTAATACTTGGCTTTCTCCGTGGGGGGGGGATGTGTCTAAATGTGTCTCTATTTGTTTTCATGCACGCTGATCGTCTGGGCTGGTACACTCTGGCTCATTCTACCGTGACCACAAACATGCGGAAAGACGAGTTCTCCCGGCTCCGGAGAACGGTTCACGCCACACGTGGAACGCTGTGGGAACGCTCTCCATGGGGGCCTGGCTCGGCCGATGGCATGTTTAACGTCGATGGGAGACTTGCGTGTGCGGGGTGTTTACGTTCGGCCCAGACGGGCAGAAGATGCTGTAATGGACACCGGCAGCGATAAAAGAGCTCCTGGGAGGAAACGGAGGAATGGTGGCGGGGAAAAGAGAGCGACTATCAGCAGGAGGCCGGATGGGGGAAAACGTGGTTGAATCCCAGCCCTGAGCCCCCAGTGTGTCCTCAGTCGCACTGGCCATCCTCCTGACATCACTTCCTGTTTCTCTGATAGCAGGGGGGTGGAGGGGACGGGGCAGACTTCGAGCTTCAGTGATGTCCCCCGATTGTCACCGAGAGAAGGGAATCGCAGGTGTGCAGGTTGGGAGGAGGACAGCAGCAGCCGGACTGGACATGTTAGGAGTCCCACAAAGGAAGTCGGGAAATATGAAAATGATTTAGCTGCAGCCAAATTTTTCTACAATCAAAACCGGTTTGCTTTAGGGTCAGTAGACTGTGCAATTTCGTGAACTGCGAGCTGCGTAACCGCCATCCTGACCTGGCAAGAATGTAGCTGAC